GTGTAAAAAGATGTTGTACATCAACCTGATACAAGCTCTCTACTGGAGTGAGAGCTTATGGCAACTGTAACTGGAATTCTTTACTTCAAGTGTTGTCCGTCTGGAATGTCCACTCTCTTCATTCTTGTTTAAATTTGTCATCGACATGCTCTGAGTTATAACCTTATCCTCGTCTGAATATTCAGGAGTGGACCTTCTGTGAATATGCCGATGACATAGTTCTATTTGGACAAGACGCTGACAAAATGCAGAGTCTTGTGACTACCCTAAGCAACAATGCAAGCATGTTCGGGATGCTGTTTTCCCCCTCGAAATGCAAAATGTTGCTTCAAGACTGGGTTGCATCGGCATCTGAACTAGTGATAGGGAGTGAAGTAGTCGAGCGTGTTGATCACTTCACTTATCTGGGGAGTGCTGATGGCCTGGTGACTGATGAAATCTGTGCGCGGAAACTGGAAGCTTGATTGGTTTTGCCAAACAGCCTCACTTATGGGGTAGGCGAGATATCCGTTTACTAATCAAGGGTCGAGTGTACTGCGCAATAGTTCTCTCTATCCTGCTTTATGGCTGTGAAACATGACCAATCAGGGTAGAAGATATTCGTAGGTTGTTTTTTTCTATCACAGGTGTCTCCGAAGCACTGCTCATGTAGCTTTGGAAAAACGAGTAAGCAATGTTGTCGCTATGAATCGAGTACTAGGTAGGGTTGGCAACTCGGTGGATGAAAGAGCGACACTTCTTCAGTTAGGGTGGTTGGGACACGTGTTACGTATGCCTAACCACCGACTGTTTGCGGTGAAGGAGTAGGTTGAAAGAAAGCTGGGGTGGCAAAACCAAAACATGGCAAAAATCTATGAAGTCACTGACAACTGGGCTGAACTAAGCTGGTAGATATAGACTACCTGTTTGGGGTCCGCGAGGCAATAATAGTCGATGGTTAGAGACCTTGAACGACATCGCGAAAAAATCGTTGACAGTGGCGCAGGTGCATTCATTAATTGTCTTCTTTCAAATTCTAATCTCCTGAATTCCTCATCATATCTATCTTGCTCTTTCTAAAGTTATCTCACTGAATTATATTTGTTGAATCATATCTTTGAGTCCTAATTTTCTCCATAACCGCTAATATTTCCACTATCTCTACCATTATGGGATTTGAACTGACAATTGCCTCTCTGTGCCAATGTGGTATGGCAACTTGATTTGATGTTCTGTGTACGAAGTTCTGCATTTTAACTGACTGACTGAATGCCTGTAGTAAACATTAGGTATGCATATGAGAACGTGGTATAAATGTTTTTACACTTTCAGTTTTATTCTTGCTTCCTGGTTCACCAGACGGAAGGAAAAATCTTCTGCATCAAGTTCGTTTATGTTAGCTTTTCAGCCGTCAGGCCCAAAAGTTCTTTTGAGTTAGTTGTAATTAAAGGTACTTGAACTGCTAGATCAATGGATTCCGTGAAATTATGTGCCTTACTCAACTTATTTTATTAAGAATGCTTGATATGCCAAGGAAGTACATTTCTTCTCCCGTTAGTTCCAGTATATTAGGCTAACTTTCTTTAATCAAAGACATTATCCATTTATTTGCAACACTGTTTCGATTACTCCAATATTACATCGGATTCCGGATCTATTTTAGGGCCGTTCAAGATAGTATACTCGTCAAAATGTGGCTTGCAATCTTTATGGGCTATACCATGGGTTTAACTTGAAAGCGAAAACACTAATCAACTTCGTGAAGAACCATAAAAACGTTTAGCATGTCTTAATCACTGACGAGGTCTGGGCGGTAGACAGATAAGTATGAATAATTGTGTGGACGGTATGTTACCCAAATAATTCCGCTGTTACAGGACGGAGATTGTAGATAAAGTGACTGATATTAGTTTATTGTAGTATTTCTGGATACACAAAAATCTTGTCATGTATGCAACCCGATACACAAGTAGCTAGGTCCTAGGATGAAGAATCCCAACGCACATTTAAAGTACGAAACTCCAGTCAAGTTAGGGTAAAGATATTACCGGTCCCTAGACCCGTTAGCAATACGAGTATACCTGTTCCGTATTACTGAAACGTGAGTGGCATAAAACACTTGACTGGAAGGATTTACGAAAACCCAGAAAGATAAGTTGATTGAGGTAAGATGCAACTACCATTCCTGGAGTATGACCAAACATTTTTACATGGAGATTTCAGCACTTCATCCCTAAATCTCAGCGAAAATAGTAAAACTACCAAAGCCCTTGAATTTCGATTATTTGTTAGCGAATGATTATCTCCTAGAGAAGGATATCCATGTCCATACACTAATAGGAAGTAGTAACCATGGCAAAGTCATGTTTAACGTTGTCGAGAACGAAATACTGAAGAGGGGGCTGCTAAAGCTCGTGCTACCTTTGCTACAACAGTTCAATCTACATGGCCATCAGAGAACATCTTCTGCGCGCCCTATGGCCGCGAGGTAGGTGGAGGTTAATAATAAATGATCACTAGCAAACAGGGTGAGCCACCTCTTAGAATGCTATGCCACAAGATGTAGCTTAGATAAGTCACCCACCATGAAAGAGAAGAATATGGGTTACGTAAGGTACCCAAATGCTCACTGCAGATGAAAAGGAAAGCCTTGCACAAGTGGAAGTTCTAACTGGAGGTTCTGATCGAAGTTTTTACTTGACACTCAGAAAAAGATTTATTGCCACGGTTAGAAGTGATATGAAACACTTTCCGACAAATTAATCGGCCGAAGTAGTAGCAAAATACCTCTTTGGATTCGTGACTAAAAGAAAATCTAAAAACCAGGGTGTTTATGCTTCCTAAGGTCCAAACGGCAAAGATCTAACCAGCATCGAGATTGGTGAGATCTTTAACACCAACTTCATCGGTCAGTCAAACCAGGTACTTACAAGCTCGGAGTGCTACTCAAACCTAGTACCAGCTAATGGCCTAGGGCATATCCGACTTACTCCTGTCGAAGGCGATAGAGGAATTATTGAACGAATGAATGGGGGAGATTATTTAGATAAGAGCATTATCCTCCATGAATCTCAACACCGTTTTCGGAAAGGCAGGTCATGTGCATCCAAGCTTTTCGTAGCAAAAGAACGTTTGACAACCTGCTGGCACCGAAAAATGCCGGTATACGTTGACTTCGCAAAAGTTTTCAACACAGTACTTCCCATAGCCTTAACTGCGAAGATTGCAAGAATGGACTTCATTGACCTACTTCAATCTTGGCTTGGAAATTACTTTGAGAACAGAAAGTTTTATACCAGGATAAGTAGGGTGCATGTGGACCAACGATTCTCAGCAGGAGACCATTTTGGATCCACTGCTCTTCCAAATATTTATTAATGGCCTGTTAGATAAAATTCACTCAATGGTACTGATATACGCGGATGACGCAAAGATCTGAAGATCCATTCGAGATGAAGATGATTCATCTGAGCTTCAAACAGAAATGGGCAGTAGAAAAAGGTTACAAATAAACCAGTCGAAATGTCAAGTTATGAAAATGCTGCACAACGTGACACAAACGACTTACATTCTTAGTGGAAGTCCGCTCCTCAGTGACTCCACGGAGCGTGATTTCGACCTAACAATCAATGAAAGCCTAGACTTTTTCTCTTTAGGAATTGCCGCAAATCGGGATTCCTTAGTGGCCTTTGACTTCAGGGAATCGTATTCATTTTTGATCGTGAAGCGTGGAGTGTTGGAGATGTTGGAGAGAGATGCGCTCCACCTCGTTTGTTGAGAGACAGTACTATGGCGTGAAGAAAATACTATGTCGATGCCGGACAAACAAAAGTGACTGAACACGAAGATTCTGATTGTTTCCTCGAAAAGCTAGCTCCAAACTCTATGTTCTGATTTGTGGTACAGTGTGAAATGGTATCAACTGCAGTAGTCACTCAGTGTTTGAGAGCGATAAATGTGTCATGCAGTTAGGTATGCGTAAGCAAATCAGATGAAATTTGATGAATGTATAGGAATTATTTGAAGGCTCATAGATTAAGCAAGTTGCTGCAAACGTACGAAAGAAATTCAGTAGAGATTATCGTCGAGAACAATGGAGAACAATAATTGCTGCGTACATATGCGATGAATTAACACTAGCTGCATGTCGAGAACATAAGTTGAGAGTATGACCCTAAAGTTATGTCTATAATAGCGTTGCTAACCGTTGTATGCGTTGGGGTAGTCTGAAACATGATATTTTAAGCGCATCCAAACAGCAGACTTATTTAGAATTTTGTAAAGTGTTTGAGGTACGCACACAAAATCGGTATGTCGGGAAAATTTGTCATATGGTCACCGTAGGGCCACGGCTGTTATAAACGATTTCATGAGTGATTAGTACAATTCTATGATTGTCGTAATTTAATGTCAATAAGAAGAAAAATAATAGTTCCCCAGCTTAAATACGGTAATGATAACATGATATGAATGGTAATGACGATGGGATAATTCACCAAACTCTCTCAGCCGAAATGACCACAGCCCGTTCAGTGGATAACTTTAAGTAGAGATTTGATGAACACGTATTCCCATGCAGATTATTATCTCACTCATGGACCGTCTGTGCCTGATTCATGTCTCAAAACTCGCCAGTTGTTATCATATCACATAACCGAATGCCAGGAACCGCACTTAAGAAACAAGAATCGTGCCAAAAGAAATCAATGGGTTTATTCTACCTCGTGTAAAAGATATTGGATATTAGGTTAAGTTGGTCAGACGCCTCTGTGGTTCTCACAAATACTAAGATATCCTTCCTTTGCTATCATAATAAGGTATTCTTCCTCTCACTCTGTATAAAAAGAATGTGGAAAATTTTCGATGTCTGATTTCAGTGTTCTCGTTGGCATACTAAGTAGTCCTAGACCAATAGGAAGTTCAATCAGAGACCAAACACCTGGAACCGTACCGAAAGAACAAGAATCTAGCGCAAAGAAATCAGTTTGTTTTACACTAGCTCGTGAAAAAGATATTGGATATTGGACTGAATATTCTTTAAGTAGTGCGCTACGACTCGGCATGCTGAAGATTTGTTCTTTTCAAGAAGTGAACTCAAATAAATCAAGTGGTTTTTAATAACTTGTGAAAAACATATTGGCGATATTGGAACTAGGATCTGGAGTAGCCTTAGTAATCATCTGTATTCCTAGTTACGTTTGGGAGAAATAGACGTAATAATGTAAGTAATTTTCATATATTTTAATGGTTTTTAGAGGCATTAATCAGAACCCCGCGCAACCATTGATATCCGCATTCAGGAAGGTTCCTTCCTTAGATAATTCACAAATGTCAGATTCAGATTCATCATTGGTATGTTCTTAACCATAGTTTCTAACAGCTAATAGGACGCACAAGAAATCTTGGCCTGTCCTGGGTTGTATGAAGAGATTAATCACGAAAAGAAACATGTATATAATAAGGTAATTTGAGTGTTACTTATGGCATGGAGAAAATGTTTATAAGAGCGTTTCTTAGTTTTGTACCTTTAATAATAATGACTTGGACATTTTATTATTCAGAACGAATGTTTGTAAATATTTTGTGTGTTCAACGCTATGATTGGCAATTGAATTGCAAAGCTTTTATGGATAGATTTGACGAACTGTTCATCCCTTATGATATACGTAGTCGGCTGACTCTAAGTAAATCCTCACCGTTTATGAGAATTATAATTTTCCGAAGTTTGGTTTCACCGAGATTCCACAACGTTTATCGGATTAGTTCATTCGGGAATTATATTTCTGTATAAGAGTTAATGCAAAGAGACATCTAGACCCTGAAAGCGAAGATTTTTTTCTTAAGAGTCTTTGACCTGAAGGTCTACTCCAAAAGATAATGGAGCAGCTTTAGGAGATGCAGTCTCATGATAGCCTGTCACTAACAATAAATTAATACACTATTCGTCACACCAAGACTGAGAAGCCCATGTGCACTATTGATTTGGAGTGACGGTTTTTCAACTCCCCTAGTTAGATTCTTTGTACCCACCAATCCGGTCTAATTCACTTTTCGTGCTCTAATTTCATGAACGACACCCTTGCCGTGAAAAAGCAGTAAGTACAACTTACTGGTTAGTGGTTATGCACACATGGTATTTGTAGAGCGAGAGTGAGAGAGAATGCAGACTCTCCCCAGTTTCAGCCGTACCAAGGCATGTGAAGGCATCATTTAGGAAGCAAGAAGGCAAAGAACTTATTTTTCAACCGTTAAATAAAACACTTTAAACTAATACAAACTACTATGATTACGTCCTGTAAATATACCTGAAACATCATTAGAAATTAGGCAATTAAGATATCTGTTTTGACTTGATAATGGGTTTGTGGAAGGATTCGGTGTGGTAAAATGTGCAGCTTATCTCACTATTGAGTCCTAATAATTGAAGAAAATCTGAAGAGTCAAGAATAACGTTGAGAGATATTTCAACAATTATATATGAACCTTACCTCTGTATCACTAGACTTTTTAGCAGTGATAATTTGGCATATTTACGATACTAACTTTATTTCCGAATGACTGAATCTCATTATCGCAGAATTTCGTAAATATAGTTTCCGTTTGGTTAGAATCTTGCAAATACATTAACTGTTCATCATTCTTCGGTTTTTAAAATGTGTTGAAGACTAATAAAGTGGTCTCCTAAAGATAACTTATGAAAGTCATGGGTATCGATTGCAGTGTTGTGACTAACTAAATCTTGACACAAATTATCTTATCACTTGTAAGTTGTATGTAATTTGTACGATAAAACAATTAAGTAATATCTATTGGTTACGTTGCAAACCTTAACTGACTAAATTAAAACAAGTTAAAACCCTGTTCATGGTATGGCTCACTGATTAACACAATAATAGATTGGAAAGAGAAATACTAACACAGTAGCAGTAGAATTGAATATCAATCCATATAGTTGTTGGTCTGGGTATACATCTTTGTTTGGGATTAAACTATCAATTTCTACAAATGAATGGAATGCAGGTGATTCGACTTAATGTCCCCAAGATTGCTGCAAATTTATCTATTTCTTCTATTTTTTCATGACTGACGAAATCTCAGCACGGATACAGAAGGCTCAGTTGGCTTTTGCCAACCTGCGTCACTTATGTCGTAGGCGAGAGATCCGTTTGCTGACTAAAGGACTAGTGTACCGCGCAGTGGTTCGCTCCGTCTTACTTTATGGCTGTGAAACATGGCCAGTCAGAGTAGAAGATATTCGTAGGTTACTGGTTTTCGATCATAGGTGTCTTCGAAGCATTGCTCGTATATCCTCGGACACCCGAGTGAGCAACGCTGTTATTGGGAATCGGGTGCTAGGTAAGAATGGAAGATCAATAGATGAAGTAGTGAAACTTCATCAGTTGAGGTGGTTGGGACATGTGTTACGTATGCCTAACCACCGACTGCCTCGAACAGCTTTGTTTTGTGGTGTAGGAATAGGTTGGAAGAAAGCTAGGGGCGGCCAAATCAAAACATGGCAGAAATCCATGAAGTCATTGACGAGTGGACTTAGCCATGTCGGTAATTGTCGACTACCTGGTTGGGGTCCGCGAGATGATAATAATCGATGGTTAGAGACCTTGAATGACATAACTCAAAATCGTTGGCAATTGCGCCGGTGCATTTATTCTTTGTGTTCTCTCAAATCCTAATCTTCTGGATTCTTCAACCCCTCTACTTTTGACTTTGTAAGCTTATTTCACTGAATCATACTTCTTGAATAATATGTTCTAATCCTAACCTCTCCGATAACTTCTAATACACTTACTACCTCTTCTACTATTGGATTTGAATTGACAATTACGTCTCTGTGCTGATGTGGTATGGCCACATGAACTGATGTACCTACGTAGGAAGTTTTACGTTGCATGTGACTGACTGATTTTTCATGTATTTCGGATTATGTCACTGTACCCCAGTTTACTTGTTCATTAGTACTCTTTTAATTCGTAACTACTGTTGGTGTCCTTCCTATTCAGTCGATTGATTTCCAAATACTTAGTTAATGCTTTTGTGTCGTTTTTCAAACCTCTTTAATTTGGTTATTTGTCAGCATGAAATAATAAGAAAAAAAAGCTTTGTAGTGTCTTTAGTAAATTTTACGTTTCGTGTCTTGTTTACCTCTACAAATCTCAAAAAAAACTTCTAAATCTCAGGGGAATAAGTTTAACTAATATAGTTTCTAAATTGTTAGCCTCGATTATACTTAGACGTCTAACTAGAGCTCGTGAAGAGCAGACTCGAGAAAACCAGGCTGGTTTTCGACCTGGACGTGGTTGTATAGACCACATCTTCACACTAAGACAGGTCCTGGAACACAGACACACATTTAGACGTCCGACAAAAGTCGTGTTCCTGGACCTAAAAGCGGCATTCGACTCAGTGGACCGTGAGGTTCTGTGGCAGTATCTGTCATTGAAAGGTGTACCAAAGAAGTACATTAACCTTATACAAGCACTCTACTCGAACACCACTGGTCGGGTGAGAGCATATGGCGAACTGTCATCTGAATTCTCTACATCAAGTGGTGTCCGTCAGGGCTGTCCACTCTCTCCATTCTTGTTTAACTTTGTCGTAGACATCCTCTTAGAGTTAACATTAAGCCCGTCAGATTTTTCAGGGGTTGACCTATCAGGAAAGTTGCTTACTGATCTAGAATACGCCGATGACAAAATGCAGAGTCTTCTGACTACCCTAAGCAACAATGCGAGCATGTTCGGGATGCGGTTTTCCCCCTCGAAATGCAAAATGTTGCTTCAAGACTGGGTTGCATTGGCACCTGAACTAGTGATAGGGAGTGAAGTAGTCGAGCGTGTTGATCACTTCACTTATCTGGGGAGTCTCATCAGCGCTGATAGCCTGGTGACTGACGAAATCTCAGCTCGGATACAGAAGACTCGATTGGCTCTCGCCAACCTGCGTTACTTATGGCGTAGGCGTGATATCCGTTCGCTAACCAAAGGACGAGTGTACTGTGCAGCAGTTCGTTCCGTTCTCGTATATGGCTGTGAAACATGGCCGTTAAGAGTAGAACATGTTCGTAGGTTACTAGTATTCGATCATAGATGTTTAAGAAGCATTGCTCGTCTATCATGGGACAACCGTATAAGCAATGCTGTCGTTAGGAAACGAGTACTAGGTAAGGATGGCAGATCAATCGATGAAGTGCTGAAACTTCATCAGTTGAGGTGGTTGGGACATGTGTTACGTATGGCTAACCACCGACTGCTGCGACGAGCTGTTTTGTGGTGTAGGAGTAGGTTTGAAGAAAGCTAGGGGCGGCCAGACCAAAACATGGCACAAATTCTTGAAGTCACTGTCAAGTGGTCTGAGTCATGTTGGTAGATGTAGGCTACCTGGTTGGGGTCCGCGAGACGAAAGTCACCAATGGTTAGAGACCTTGAATGACATGGCTCAAAATGGTTTGCCATGGCGCAAGTGCATCCATTCGTTGTGTTCTCTCAAATCCTAATCTTCTGGATTCGTCAGCACCTCTATCTTTGTCTTTCTAACCTTATTTCACTGAATTATACTTCTTGAATAATATCTTCAAACCCTAGTATTTATCATTACCATTAATACCTGTACTATCTTTATCACTATGGGATTTGATTGGACATTTGCGTCTCTGTGTTAATAATGTGGTCTGGCAACATGAACTTATGTACATACACACGTACGAAGTTCTACGTTGCAACTGGCTGACTGACTTACAGGCAGATTGTGTGTCTAAGCAGAAGATTTTTTTTTCCTGAGGTCAACTATTGAGTAACTATTTCAAAGTTTTTACTTTTATTTTTTCTAATTACAACGAACTCTAATGATGCTGATTTGATTAATGAATCTAATTTTATTTTTATTACAAAAAAAATCACAAACAGTCAGCTCTAATGAATACTCTCAATAATATTAGAAAAAATCTTCCATGGATTGAACGATTAGATGTAACATGTAAAGCTGCACCAGCTCAAAAAGAATTAGATGTGAACGATTTACAACCAATTGATGCGGATGATGATTTTAAACGTGAAAATTTTTTGTAAGTTTTTTTTGTTGTGGTGTACTTTGTTACAAAAAAAACCCTGAATCATTTTTTTATGTAAGCTGATAAATTTCATCATCACAATTCATCATCCTAGGTGTAAGTTACTTTATTAATACTGCCGATAAAGTGAAGACATCACATTGAAATTTGAGAATAAGTCTTGTGAATACTGGTAATATATAACTGCAGTGTTGCTCATTGTCTATTGATTTGGTTAAATTCACAAAATGCAGTCTTCTGACCTCCCTAAGTAACAATGCAAGCATGTTTGGGATGCAATTCTCACCATCGAAATGCAAAATGTTGCTTCAAGATTGCCTTGCATCGGCACCTGAACTAGTGATAGTGAGTGAAGTAGTCGAGTGTGTTGACCGCTTCACTTATATTGGTGTCTCGTCAGCGCTGCTGGCCTGGTGACTGACGAAATCTCAACGCGGATACAGAAAGCTCGATTTGCATTTGACAATTTACGTCGTTTATGGCGTAGGCGAGATATCCGTTCGCTAACCAAAGGACGGGTGTAGTGAGCAACAGTTCGCTCTGTCCTACTATACGGATGCGAAACATGGCCGTTAAGAGTAGAGGACTTCCGTAGGTTACTAGTCTTCGATCATCTATGTCTCTGAAGCATTGCTCGTGTATCCTGGAACAACCGTATAAGCAATGCTGTCGTTAGGAAGCGAGTTCAAGGTAGGGACGGCAAATCAATAGATGAAGCATTGAAACTTCATCAGTTGAGGTGGTTGGGACATATGTTACGTATGGCTAATAACCACCGACTGCCTCGACGAGCTATGTTTTGTGGTGTAGGAGTAGGTTGGAAGAAAGATAGGGGCGGCCAAACCAAAACATGGCAAAAATCCATGAAGTCACGGACAAGTGGACTGAGTGATGTTGGTAGATGTAGGCTATCTGATTGAGGTGCGCGAGACGATAGTTACCAATGGTTAGACACCTTGAATGACATGGCTTAAAATCGTTTGCAATGGTGCAGGTGCATCCACTCTTTTTCTATGAAATTCTAAGCTTTTGCATTCCTCATAATCTCCACCTTTCTCCTTCTAAATTTATCTTACTGAATTATACTTCTCGAATCATATCTTCGCTCCCTAATCTTCTCCATTACTGCTAATAGTTCTATTATTGCTATCACTGTTGGATTTGAACTGACATTTGCGTCTCTGTGCTGAAGTGGTATGGCAACCTGAACTGATGTACTTACGTACGAAGCTCTGCGTTGTATCTGTCTGTGTCTGTTTGTTTGGTCAAATTCACTAATATCAGTGCATATCGTCAAAGTTCCATTTGTTATGTTCTGTTTAAACATATACATACATATAAATCACTTGTAATTCTCGATTGTTTTATTCTCGTATGTTTTCATGCGTTTTCCATTCGTCTATTAACCAAAGGACGAGTCTACTGCGCAGCAGTTCTCACTGTCTTACTTTATGTATGTGAAACATTCACAGGTTACTAGTATTTGATTATAGGTGTCTTCGAAGCACCGCCCATGTATTCTGAGACCATCGAGTAAACAATGCTGCTGTTGGGAAAAAAAAGTAGTAGGTAAGGATGGTAGATCAGTTGATGAAGTATTGGAACTTCATTAGTTGAGGTGGTTGAGACCAGCCATAGGCTGGAAAAAAGCTAGTGGTGGCATAAGTCCATGAAGTCACTAACAACTTGACTGATTCATGTTGGTAGGTGTAGACTACCTGGTTGGGGTCCGCAACACAATCCTAACCGGTGGTTAGATACTTTGGATGATATGGCTCAAAATCGTTTGCAGTGGTGCAGGTGCATCCATTTTC